TACAAACTGATTCCACATCCTGTTCCATAGCACCTGTATCACTATTCAACACTGCACTGGTACTTTCCTTTACTAATGAAGCCACTCCAACCACTTTTTCTTTTGCCTATTCTTCCAGAATCTCAAATACCTTTGAATATTGTGTTCCAAGTCTTGCTCACCCTGAACCTGGCTTTTTAATAGCTATCAAGTCATATTCATTCATTGTTACTTGTAATGTCAAATCATGTATCCTGTTACAAATGCTGCATGCATTCAGATAAAGAGCCTTAAGCTTTGTCTTTTTACCATTATTACTTACTCAGGTTCTAATTTCTGCTGTGTTCTTTAGCATATGTTTTCTATCTTTTCCTGACACATTTTGACTGTTATTCGCCTTTTTACTACCCTGCATCTCTCAGCAAAACCTCTTTTCTAGTCCTAGTTATGTCACTAGTAGCAACATAAACTATGATGCCTGGATCCTTCCTCTCCCACCGCAAGTTCCAATCCAGCATAGAAGAGATGTCCCTGAACCTTAGCACCAGGCAAGCAACACAGCCTTCAGGATTCTGCGTCTTTGTTGCTGAAACAGTATTTATTCCGCCAACTGTACTTATCCCCCATTCCTGATAAATTCTTCTTTTTGCAACCCCCCCTTTTTGGGTGTGCTCTGAACCACTGTGATCAGTTCACTCATGCTCCAGCCAGTCTGTGTCCCCACCCGCACTGCAAGTAAGTACCCCGTACCTATTGAACAAGAACATTAGTTGTGGCTCCTCCGAAGCTAAATTCTGGATCTTCAAACCTGCCATTTGCAATGCATTCTGCAACTTGTGACTTTACATGTTCTGACTTCATTTATCAGTCCACTATGCAGTACTTTGTCACGTGCTTTTTGAAAATCCAATTGAATGCACCAAATAAAAAGTTAAGCTTTCAAGCTGCTTTATTGCAGAAGTAAAAATGAAAGGCAAGAAACGTAAGTGTCCATACAAACACAGTAATGTTTATAATGTCATTTAAATTGATTCAAATTCAGACTATTTGTACAGGCCAACTGATAGGACAGAAATATTCTGAGGCATTTAAACTGACTCAGCATTTTCCCTCCATCTGACCCAGAATGATGTGGAGGTGCCAGTGTTGGACTGGGGTGGACAAAGTCAGAAATCACACGACACCAGGTTATAGTCCAACAGGTTTATTTGAAATCACAAGGTTTCGGAGCGCTGCTGCTTCATCATAGTGAAGTCACTTTGGATATATTTAATTATGCTTCACCTGTTAGAATGCAACACGCGTCAGTGAAAAATATTCAGAGGTGACCAGAATTTTCATCTAGGAATTTCCTCAAGCATTTGCTCCTCATAGCAACTGAAGTCCACTAATTTAGTGGCTCGAGTGCCCATATCCTTGAGACCTCAGAATTCCTGACAAACCATGCAATGAAAGGGAATCAGAGGGGACAGAAACTGAGAGGCTGATAAAACATCTCTACAGGGCTCACTAAATCCACAGGGTATTAACCTTACAGCTGCTTTATCCATAGAATCATTGCAGTGTGGAAACAGGCTATTAGCCCAACAAGTCCACACCAACGCTCCGAAGAGCATCCCACCCAGACTCACTCCCCTATTCTATCTCTACGCTCCCCCTTGGCCACTCCAACCAACCCACACACACCCGGACACTATAGGCAATTTGGCATGGCCAATCATACTTGACCTGTACATCTTTGGGCTGTAGGAGGAAACCAGAGCACACCCACACAGACACAGGGAAAATGTGTAACCTCCACACAGACAGTTGCCCAAGGCTGGAATTGAACCCATGTCCCTGGCGCTGTGAGGCAGCAGTGCTAACCACTGAGCAACCATGCCGCCCTTTTACCCTTAAAAAAATTCCAATATATTAAGTTGGGGTTTACTTCTGAAATGCATTCCCTTAAAAGTACATAGGTCAGAAATAAAGGTCAACTGTCCAGTGGCATTGCAAGATGTCAAGAATGCCTGAACAGCAAGGGAGCAACTCACTCCATGATTTTTGCTTGTTATACGATTTGATGAGAAATTTATTTTTGGAAGGCTCCCCCACCTAATAAAATCAGAGATAGTAGGAACTGCAGATGCTGGAGAATCCGAGACAACAAGGTTGCGGGCTGGACGAACACAGCAGGCCAAGCAGCATCATAGGAGCAGAGAGAGGCTGATGTTTCGGGCCTAGACCCTTCATCAGAAAAGGGGGAGGGGAAGGGGGTTTTGAAATAAATAGGGAGAGAGTGGGAGGCGGATAGAAGAGGGATAGAGGAGAGGATAGGTGGAGAGGAAACAAACAGTTCGAAGAGGCGGGGATGGAGCCAGTAAAGGTGAGTGTAGGTAGGGAGTTAGGAAGGGGATAGGTCAGTCCAGGGAGGACGGACAGGTCAAGGGGGCGGGATGAGGTTAGTAGGTAGGAGGTGGAGGTGCGGCTTGAGGTGGGAGGAGGGGATAGGTGGGAGGAAGAACAGGTTAGGGAGGCAGGGATGAGCTGGACTGGTTTTGGGATGCGGTAGGGGGAGGGGAGATTTTGAAACTTGTGAAATCCACATTGATACCATTGGGCTGCAGGGTTCCCAAGCGGAATATGAGTTGCTGTTCCTGCAACCTTCGGGTGGCATCGTTGTGGCACTGCAGGAGGCCCAGGATGGACATGTCGTCTGAGGAATGGGAGGGGGAGTTGAAATGGTTCGCGACTGGGAGGTGCAGTTGTTTATTGCGAACCGAGCGTAGGTGTTCTGCAAAG